TTGGGGGGGGGGGGGGGTCTCCTCAAGACCGCCTGGACAAGTCCCTGCAGCTTTTTCGGCAAGATTTTCCGAAGTGGTTTGCTTTTGCCTGCTTCCCCGGGCTGAGAGAGAGTGACTTGCCTAAGGTCACCCAGCTGGCTTTTTTGTGCCTCAGGTGGGACTAAAATTCGGCTTTCCTAGTTTCTAGTCCACCTCTTTTAATCATTACACCAGTCTGGCTCTAAAATGTATGTAATATATGCAATAGGTATTAAATATGTTTAAGGCAGCATGCAGAATGTGTTTTGTAACAATTTAAACGATAGCAAAAATTAAGAACAAAGCATTACCGCCTTCAACTTAGGTACCAGGCCATATGTTCCAATAGCCAATGTACTGTACTCAACTGAGCCTGAAACTACCGTAGCCAACGGCGAAAACACAGCAGCCTCGCCTCAAATGGGAAATTTGACCTATGCATTGTACACAGCACTCTGCAAACAGGAAAGCCATCGTCGGACGCTTTCCTCGCCTGCTACCCAGCAACGTCGCTCTACTCTTCCATACACCCATTGTTAAAATAGCTATACTTTGAATTGCAAGTCGGCGGATCACGAGCTCGCTCGGGTACAAAAACATGGCAAAGATTGCGCAGATGTACTTTTCTATACAAGTTTCTTGCTAGCCAAACTCAAATTACTTTTTACTCCAACCTCTTTAAAAAAAAATTGAAAGCCCCCCTAACCGGTGCAACAGAGACACTCTACCCTCCCTCTATGGTGCCAGTACTTCCAATCGAGATCTGGAAAAGTTAAACCTTTCCTTTCTTTACAGGAGAGGCTGACCGAATACAATAGAGCTCTAGGAAATATTTCAGCTAGAGCGGTTGCGACTCCTCCTCCTGAATTTCCTGGAGGGGAGGGGAGTGAAGGTTGGAGGTCGGCGCGTGTCGGAAAATGGTGGCGCGCGAGGAGCTCCGCGTGGTGCGCTGCGGAGGGAGCTGGTTGAGCGAGTGTCGCGCGGTGTTTTCTGCTGATTCGAAGTTAGTGTAATTACAGAGTTGAAGATTTTTGCTTTTCTTTTAGGCGGCGAGTTTCCATCACGTGAGAATGCTGCAATTGCAAGAAGGCCGGTGTTCATCGACATGTACCTGCGCGTATGCAATGCACTTGCGCTCGTACCTTCTGCAGACGTATACGCGGGAATGTTCAGTTGAATGTAGTGATGTCTTTTCTGAGTAGATGGTCGGATTATGTTGTTAATATATACTTTTGAGTTCCAAAAGTTTATTCCCGCTTAAACTTTAGATGAACTTGCAGTCCGTAATGTCGCCTCGAAAGGAGGAAGTGCCAACCTGTTGGCAGGATCTGCAACTGGAATGTTGCTTTGGTCTTTCTGAATAGAAAATCTAGACTTAGTTCTCAATTAGATCAGTGTGTTTAAGCCATGTAAAAATAGACGGACCTCTCTTCTGCTTTTGACTGATGAATCACTGGAATTTTGGCTTGTACATTTGGGGGAGGGACTATGTTTTGTTTTATATTGATGTGAAATAAAATGTAAAATGATACACGTATATAAATCTTAATGAGTTGGTTATTATTGCTTCAATAAATATTATTATTTATTGAAAACAAATCTACCCCATATTCTGTTTTTGAGTGAGGCACCCTAAGTTTAATGCAGTGTTTCAGTGCTGGTATGTCACATGGTTTAGTGGATTTTGAGCACCTTTGTTTTTATTTTAGTCTTTTACCTTTAATGTTAAAGATCTGAGACTCATGTTTTCTAATAATTTTAGTTAACATGCAACATGTTAGAATTACATAGATGCCTTCTAATTAACTTTTTTGAATCACTTATTTACAGGTATCTCCTGTGTGCTTCAGGTGACTACATTAAAGTCTACAGTACCCTTACAGAAGAATGTCTACATATTCTACAAGGACACAGAAATCTAGTGACAGGAATCCAGTTGAATCCCCAAAATCATTTACAGGTTATTACCAATTTGATAATGGCATTTTTCACCGTAATGGGTGTTGAATTCTTGCATGGTGTTTCATTAAGAAAACCTTGAGTTTATTCACACATCATTGGGGTGGGGGGATATATACAGGTCTAACTTGAAATTAGACCAGTTGATAATTGGAGTGTGCCGAAAATAGGATTAACTGTCTAATACTCTGAACTTGTAAAGGCTGCGTATGACTTTTACTTTTTACTCTCTAGAAGGCTGTGTTTACTTCTAGATCAAATTGCTGGGTATATAATGCCAGTCTAATTGCTGCCTAATTTAAGTTTGTCACTTCTCTTCTGACCCAGCAGCACTGACTTACTGGTGTCTGGTCAAGTTTAAAAGCTCTATGTCATCTGAGGCCTGCATAATTGAAAGCAAAACTGAGGAAACTCCTGCTTTCCTGGTTTATTGGATCTCAATTCCCATTATTCTGAACGATTGGCCATTCAGCTAGGACTCAGGGGAATTGAACATTCAGCAGTACTTAGAGGGGTACAGGATCCCCAACTTTGTTTTATAACCCTCCCCTCACCCCAGTAGACTCGTGGAGTAAATGCTGCTTCCTAGCTCTGTCCTTATATGGAAAAATGAATTGGATAGGCTCAGAAGCGTCCCTTGTATCTATAGTATCCACTCAGTAGAATACTCCATGGAGTAATGCAGCAGGCTTTTTCTTTGGGGATACCTGAGTGCTTGTACATTAAGGTGCTGTTCCCTCAGAAATCACTTCTTGCTGGATAAGGGCTTTTAAAGTTAGTATGTATCTGTTGGGACCTAAGATGATCCTTCAAATTGTATCATGCTGGTTGAGTTTAATTATTCCTGGGTTTCAAGAAAGATTTTATTATAATTTATCTGTTTAGGTAAGCAAATACTGACTTATTATTGAAGCTTGTTTGCCACTATAATTATTTTTCTATTTATAATATATACTCTTCTTAGATGATCATGGGACCATCCAGCATTGGGGTAGAAAAAACACAGCCTAAAATTTAATGTTCATTCTGGTCACATCAGACTGCACTACCTTTCTCTCAAAGGATGACCCAACGGGTCACAGGATTGTCTAGTACGTACCAAAATTGAAAGTTATAGATCACTTCTTTTCTTTTCTCCCCCTTTCCTTACTAGCTCTATTCGTGGTCTCTAGATGGCACTATAAAACTCTGGGATTTTATGGACGGAATTCTCATCAAGGTTTGTTGAGTGCCTTTTTCTTTTCTTTTTTATACATCGTTCATAATCTATGCTCACACAGCATACCAAAGCGCAGGTTAGCTAAACAAATTTGAACCTAATGAAGCCAGAAATAGACTCTTTTGATTTCAGCAGGTAAATTAAGTAATATACATTATCTGTCTTGGGACTTTGTTGGTTGTGTTTTTTGTACGGAAGCCTAGCTATAGTCTGCCATTGCCATGCAAGCCACATGCTAGCTAATGTAAATCATTTACTGCATGTGAAGTGCAATTCAAGGTATAATTCAAAATATGAAACAGCATTTCCCCAGAAATCCAAATGGCACCTATTGTAATGATCTGAAGGACATTAAAACTTGGCTGTTCAGAAGGTTAGGATGTTGTAAGCTTTTTCCTTTTTAGCATTGGGGTATTGTTTAATGTAATTAATGTTCTCAAATTTATATATGTTTAGATAAATGTTCATATTAGTAGGTATATTTTTTATTTCATTATTGTAATTGTATTATTTTAACCTGATGTACAGACGCCAGGTTTGTATGTTTCTCAGTGATCGGTGATTGGAGTGGCTTATAGACTAGCAAATAAATAATAGTATATTTTATTATATTTGGTTATGGTTGCTCAATACAATTGTTGTTAATATTATTTTACTATAGTAGCTTTGTTAGTATTAAGTTAGCTACTGTGGACATGTAACTTTTTTTTTTAATTATTATTTTACTGTAGCTGTTTTAATTGCATTATTTAGCATTATAAGCTGCAGGAATCCCTGGCAAATTTGACAGTATATAAATGGAATAAATAAATATATTTCCTCCATCTTATTGAAGGTAGGATTTACAATGTAGCTGTTATGCACAGGGCCAGGGAAGGAATAGATATTTCTCAATATCTGGCCTACTGTAATTGCAGTTCCTTCTGATATAGCTGGTCCTCACTAAATGACCACTTATTCAGTGACTGTTCAAACTTGTGATAGTGGTGAACGAGTGGTACTTACGACTGCTCCTCAAAGTGCTGGCTGTTGTGCTTGTGATTGTGATCCAGGTGCTTGGTGCCC